GAGAGAGAGAGAGGGAGGAAGGATAGATACCGAGTTCTCCTCGTTCATGAGCTGCTGCTAATTGATTGACAACGCGTCTTTCCACTTCATATTTGATAGAACGAGCTCCATAATGAACATCATACCCATCTGCTAATACTGATAGGACCTCTCTATCCCATTTCAATTCGATCATATGTCTTTCTTTTGCTCGAGTAGCCCATATTTTTAATTCTCTGGCGACTAATTCTATTAATTCTGTCCGAGAAAATGGTAAAAAATATACAATTTCATTTATTCTTCCTAGAAATTCATCTCTCCGAAAATGAGACTTCAATATTGGACGCACCTGAAGATTTGATTATATAACTTTCTATGCCTCTCTTTCAAAACATGTATGTGTATATTTACATACCACTTGATCCTTAAAATTACGAGATATCTCAATATGTTCTGGTTCTTGATCTTCATTAGTATTGATTAATCTATGATTTAATACTTTTTCAGCTTCTATTCTGAGTTGTATCGCATGTTCCGCGATTTCCTCGCTTCCTAAGTTTGATGTCATTATAAAAATAGCATTTTTACATTCGATTGTTTTTCCTTTACCATCGGTTAGTCTTCCCTTAAAAATAATCATCATTATTGTATTATTAAAGAACTCTACAGACAAAATTATTAAACTAAATAAATAACTACCTCATCAAAAAGCTGTAGTAAAACAGTTAAAACATCAGGATGAGCTTTGTCAACCTCATCAAATAATACAACAGCGGAAGGATGTTTTTTTAAAAGCTTTGTTAACTGTCCACCATCATCATGTCCCACGTATCTAAATGATGAATTTAAAAAAATATATTGCTATATTAAATTTTACACATGCATGCACGCACGCACGCACGCACGCACGCACACACATATATATGAACTTAAAATATATAAAAAATAATTAAATTCAAATAATAATTAAGTTTTACCCTGGTGGTGCTCCAATTAATTTTGCAACTTCATGTTTTCCTTGATATTCAGACATATCCAAACGAATAAAACTATCTGGTTTATTTTTGTGAATATAAGCAGCTAATTGCTTGGCTAATTCTGTTTTGCCAATACCTGACGAACCCAAGAAAAGAAATACTAGTGGATGTTCCTCATCTATCCAACCATTTTCTTTTCTTCTAATAGCTAAGAATATTAAGTAATATAATTTGTAAATGAATCTATTAATAAACTAGTTTCTGATAAAAATAATAATAACTTACTGGAAGCAACGATGGAAATTGGTCCTTCCTGTCCTACAATATACTGTTTCAAACGCTGTTCTAATGGAAATCTGCGACGTTCTTCAGCTTCCTAAAAAAAAATTTTCATTAGCATGCAAATTATCTTCTAACTTTTCCATATACATTTTATACATAGATCTTTTGCATAGAGAAAAATGGCACATACTTTTTCTTTTATTATTTCATCATATTTAATGGCATATTTGATAAGCATTTCCTTGATTTCTCCTTCTTTAGCATATTCAACCGCTCGATATCCTGCTTCATTTTCTATAGTTGGATTTGCTCCTTTATCCAATAATAATTTTATACATGTCTTTGAATTAGCTAATACAGCATAATGTAACGCTGTAAAACCTTGGAAAGTAGCTCGATTATTTAATTGATCAGAAAATTCTTCTTCTCTTTTTGTGAGCACTAAACATCCAAATTAAAATCAATTATTTATTGATTATTAATAACTTTGAAATTTCATATTTGTTATTCTTAGAGATATTTATAGTTTTAGATATTTATAAAAAATTGTACTTTTTATATTTCTTTTAATATTAATGTTTATATATAAAACAAAAACAATACCATCTAAAGAATGTAAGCCTTTTTCCATGGCAGTCCTATAAACATTAACAAAGTTATCTCCCGCATTAACATCAGCACCATTGTCTAACAGAATTTTCATAATTTCTTCTCTTTGATTTATGGCAGCAGTTTGCAATGCTGTCCAACCTAGTTGATGTCTGATATTTATATCAATGCCTTCTATTATTATCTAAAATATATATTATGCTTTGTATATGTAGTATGTACATGTAAGAAACATTTAATATTTAAAAATCAATAAATAGTATTGTAACACAAATTTTTTTGACAGGTAAAAGATGTTGTGTATTATTAAAAGCAAAATGGCATGAAAATGGAGCAAGCTTAACTCTCTATGTTCAACAAAGGGGCTCAAAAAGTTTTTTTTTTCAATATCATAGAAATAGACAAGTTAATGAAAAATGTTAATTCTAAATTCTTAATAAATAAAATATAGTCTTTTGATAACTAATATATATATAGATCATTTAAAAAGAAAGGCTATAAAAGTTTAACGCCATTTATTATAAAAATTACAGTCGTGAAATACTTTATAAAATTTTCGATTATATGCTAATGTTAAACAAAGTTTCAAAAAAACTTACTTTTTTTAGTTCTGAAACATTTCCATGCTGGACAGCACGAAAAAATCTTTTTTCTGCAAAAGATACGATTATCTTTTATTTATATATATGACTTAATTTTATATATATATTTTTTTTAATCATATAGTACATACCTTTATAATATGAGGAGTCACAAAAAGCTACTATGAGTCCAAGACTGCTCAAGAGTACTCCAAGACGTTTGTAGTGTCTTTTGCCATATTTGTTGTCATATTTCTCGAATTTTTCTTTCGCAGGTATTGAGAGCGTTGCAGAAAAATCGGGCAACTTTTTATTCAATAATTTGTACAATGAAAAAATCCGAGGTGATAATTGCAAGGAATATTGAGCATAACCTCTCTGACAGCCTCGGCACGCAGCAACGTTAAAATCGTAACTTTTAAAGCATATTCGATTTAAAAATATCTCCGCCGTTTTGGCGTTTCTTATCACGGAGCATAATTTTAAGATACACAGTCGTGACATATTGATTTTCCACCGGATTTACGATTGATTACAACCACGTGCCGATCACTTGAAACGCTTGACACACGCTAACTTTACGTTAACGTTTATTAATAGTTTTCAGGTTACTCCATAAACATTATACGATGATGACACGCTCGTATTACAAATTTATCTTTGTTCATTAAATGCGAATTATCCTATATATCATTATTCGAGAAATGTAAATGTCAGGAACGTCCTTTTATCCGTCTTCTGAACTTTTCTTTAACATTCCTTATAGAGGTCCGTGTCATATGGTATATTTATTGAAATATTATTATTGAAATAAAGTTCTTCATTAAATGCGGTTGTGTTACTTGTTATTGAAATAAAATGATGTTTTTGCGTATTTCATTTCATTTTATTTGCATGCGCGATCTACGTTAATGCAACCGAGAATCGATTAATAATTTTTAAATTATAATTTACAAGATACAAAATGGGAATGAAAGCGGAATAATTTCGATAAAAGAATTCTCAATCTTTCATATACAACTGTATATTAATGAAAAATGCTTGTCATTTGTCAATGATCTTCATTTTAAAAATAATTTTCTTTCTCATCTAAATCGAATCATGTTGAATTTTTTTTTTGTCAAGAACTTTTTTCTAATAAATTCTGACAATTATTAGTTTTCTTTTGACATTGATTTTTTCTTTTTCATTTTTTTTGGAAAAATCCGATTGACATAAATAGATCGTATAACAGATCAAGAAGATATGAAAGATTATAAAATTCAGAAATGTGGACGGTAGCTCGAAAATACATTAAAAATATAATTTTCAAAAACTTCCTTGACGCTTATCGTCGGCCGCCATGTTACATGATGACGACAGCTCTAAAGTTCCGCTCCCGGCGGATTTAAACTTGAATAATTGCTCTGATAATTGCATTTATTTGCGAAAGTAAGTGATTATCGTGCGATTCGACAAGTTTTATCTGATTTGATCTGATCACGGGGCCGCTAGTTACAATTTATTTCAACCGGCGTTCGCCGACGTAGGGCGTAAATTTAATGGTAGACTGTCGCGTTGTTTGACTTTTTCGAGAATTTTCGAAGAAACGTAAATCCGGCGGCTGCGGAATCGTCCAATCCCGCGTCTTTCCAGAATATTCCAGATCGAGGGAGCGCGGCAGTCGACATGTGCCGCAGTAACGTCATGATTGGCCAGTTTTGAAGCGAGCTTAGCAGAAGGCAGTGCCTGTTCGGTGGAGAACATTTTCTTCGGAGCATCGCACGCGAGCGTATCTATTGAGTCTTACTCGCCGTTATTCGTTGTTACTCGTTGTTACTAGCGACTGCTCGTGATCGTGGTAAAGTCGTGGTAACGCGACTTATTTAATCGAATCGCTTAGAGTTGTGATCGGTGTTGTCCCGGCGCAACTCCTTTCGCGGAGGACACGAGAGGTGAGAGACGTGCGAGTGCCGAAGAGTGCCAGCGAGAGCCGTTGAGAGCCGCTAAAACCTGCTCCGTCTCGTGTCATCGGGGGAAAAAAAAGTGTCGATTCGACCCATCACCAACAGCCATGGCCGCGATGTCCGTGATCGGGATCGACTTTGGAAACGAGAGCTGTTACGTGGCCGTGGCTCGCGCCGGTGGCATTGAGACCATAGCGAACGATTACAGTCTTCGCAATACTCCGTAAGTCCCTCGCCGAATCACTCAGCCGCGACTCGAGATACTCGTCGATACTCGAGCTCGCGTGTCGCGTGTCGCGCTCGCGCTCGTACTCGTCATAGACACCGGTCCCGCGGGTCCGCGCCGTGATTCCGACAGCGGGCAGCGGCCCAATCTGGATTTGACTTTTTTCTCTCTGAATTTTTATTCCACAACATATCATCTACGAAGACGTAATTCCTCGCTATCTCGCAGCGGTATCCCACTTCCGTCGTCTTTACGTCATCGACGATTCTCATCGTAATTTTTTCAACAAGTTTTTTGCCAATCTCGAGGATATATATATTTGAAGCTAGAGAGAACTGGAGAGAAGAGAATCGGTATCGATTTTCGATTGTCTCCAAGAGATCCGGCGGAACGACGATCGTATCAGAGGCGAATCTATTTCGCGTGTCGCGGACAGCGAAACTTGAGACCTTGAAATTATGTTATTTCTTTCTAATTTTATACGCAATACCGAGATACCGGTGAGGTATTCCAACGAGAAATAAAAAATAGGTTGAAACATGGAACTTCATTGTGCGCGCGCGCGCGAATATCGTATTCTCCAGAACGTCGATCACATTGCCATTTACAGACATCTCGTTACCAATGCCCGACTATCACACGTGTGCTCGTGTGTTTTCAGAGTATCCGAAAAAGTCCCCGCTCCGCTCGCGCGCGTTTTAGCCCGCTTTCTTGCGCTCCTTTTGGAGTTGTCAGTGCGCTTATATTTATCCTTCATCCAATCGCTGACGACAGAGTCTGACGCGATTCTTTCCTTCTTGTGATTAATCCGATCTTTTACACAGCTTGAATATTCGTAAAGAAATAATTTTCTTCGTCTAGC